GGCTAGAAGTAGATTTTCTTTAGATAAGGATTTGTGAAGAAGAGTGCAGTCATAATGTAGGAGTAAATCAAGTCTCAGTTGACATGAAAAAACATTGAGAGCTCTTGGATATTTGTTATTGCACTGTGAAGCTCTCTTCATTTGAACATTTCTTCTGGTTTTGTGATGGTTCGTTTTTTCTTTTTATGAAATATTTGGTGAAGAGTTACTGGAAACCACAAAACACACAAAAGAAATAGAGGGGAAGTGTACCTGCTGCACCAATAGCAGCTAGATACCATAGTGTATGTAGTTATTGAAGCTGAGCAAACAAAATTAGGCAAAAACTAACACCAGACAATAGACATAAAAAAAATCAAGTTTTAAGTGTTAAATACTAGAAGTAGATACTGGCACAAAAAAGCTGATGGGTCAGTGGCTCCCTAATTGCTTTCTTTTATTTAAACATTTTCTTACTCTCTGTATAAAGGGAATATTAGAACAAAACATGGAAGAAATTTATTTTCATCATCAACTTTTACTGTGCAAACAGTAACACTGAAGGTGATGTTTACAACACTGCTATTCAAACTGGCTAATGTAGAATAGCACAGTGAGTTTCAGTTGATTCATGTCACTCTTCAGCTGATCTCTGTGTTTCACTTCCACTGGTTTTCCTCCAACTTTTTGGTGACATTTAGTTATAGGAATAATGGAGGTTACGTATGTTCTTAAAATTAGTTTGTAGGCTAATGCTTAATTATCCATGAGCTCCCTCCATACTAATATGTTGCTTAGAAACAAAAAGAGAAGTAAAAAAAACGTGACGAAAAAGTTTGGCAAATGGCTGTGCAAGAAACGGTGATGGGCAGGCTGCTCTGCTGTTCTTGTGCTTACTGAAGAGCCTCCACAGCACCACCAGCCCCAAAGTCAGTAACAGTGTCCTTGGTGTAGGAGGTTGCAAATGAAGACAAACTGGAAATGCTTGTTTAAGTCGGTCTACTGCCCACTCTGGCAAAAAAGTCTCAGGGGCTTTTGTTGTGATTTTTGTCACCTATGTCACCTGCTGACTTAAACCAGACTCGTAAGAGCTCATCGTTTTAGAAAATACAGGTCACCTAACATACACACAGAACAGAGAAGCATTCAATATTTAGGCTGTCATTCAAAAATCTCCAGAGAGTTACATGCCTGAAACACAATTAAGGATGAAGAGCTGAATCAACACTGCAAGAGTGGTTGCCGAATTTCTGGGCGTTTCAAACCTGATAGGCCAGAAAACAATCCCATCTGGGCAAATGGCCTATTTTAGCAACCGGGATTAAGCTGACAGAAGTTTTCTGCAATTTGTCTATTTCTTTAATAGTGGGGACATATTGTTTAATTAGTTAATGGGAAGAAAAAAAACATTTAACAGCTAATACGATCCTTTATGTGGTGTACCATCTGCGTATTGTGTGCCAAACGTCCCTAGCTGTGGGAGAGAGGAAATCATAAAGAATTTCAACCTTGTCTTCTTTACTGTCATTATCTTGGGGAAGTATGATAAATAATCATATTTATATTCTGGAGCGTATACAATTTAAATCAACCTATTAACCAGAAAGACATTCTTCAGAGATTTTGGAAGGCACAAAAAAAGACATTATCTCCCCATAAGCAATCCATTCCATAGATGCTGAGCACTGGAAACTTAGAATGGATTGAACAAGACAAGTTATTTTTCCTTTCACATCTAAATAAAGGTATTTGCAGAAACTTTAGTGAAGCATATTTGGGGACTAATCCTGAGATGTTGGAAGGGAACAAATCAGCTCTTCTAGATTGTTATGCAGAAACTAATTTTTAATCCTCCATATCCAAAATGTATCAGTTTTATTTGACTGAACACTTGTTCCTATGAAAGACATTTTGCTGTTAATTCAAGCTTCGAGATAGTCAATGCAGTTATTCATCTGCCTGACAACTGGGGATCCTACTCTCCTTTAAATCTGAGGTGTTGCTCTGATCATCAGGAGAGCAGGAAGGAGATAGTTATCAGTGAACAATCTGGGTATGGGCACGGTTCTTCCTCTGTGACTTCTAGCCCTCACTGTAGCTAACCCACACTCACCTGCCTGCGTAAGGCTTTTCTCTCCTGAGGGAGGAGGTGCAGCAGTCACTCACCCCAAAGCGTTTAGGCAGCCGGTGCCATCCACTCTGCAGCACAATGCACCAAGTCACAGGAAAGTTTCCCAGGCTCTATTGCATGTGTATGGTTGAAGAACATGCAGGAACAGCGTCTGCCTCATTAGCTCCCGATGAAGCTGTTCATTCAATGTAAATAACACAATAATTATTACACCGGAGAGAAAGTGAAAAAAACTGAAGAGCTGATATGACAATTTTGTGGCCAAGCTATTCACTTGGGATAGGAAAGGGTAAAGTTCAAGAATAATTTACATAAAGGGGGGACAGCTTCAACAGTGGAGAGGGATGCCTTCTGTGTTGGATATGCCTCAGGATAGCCTCCTGGGACATGAAGACCTATTTCAAATTTAGTGCTTCCCGCTTTGCTCTTCGTAACAAAAAAATAAATAACTCAGAATGAGAACATTTATTTTCGTGGTTGGTTGGATTTTTCCAGTACAGAAACATTTCCTGTATTCTCCCCTAAAAGAAACATTTTCACCACAAGACTGAACTCATTTTTATCGTGCACCACTGGTCTTGATTTACATTTGTCTCTTCTGTAAGGCCTCTGGAGTTCTTGTAAGCAACAGCAACTGATTAAACTCAATTCCTGATTCCTATCCTTCTCCTTGGCTGTTGAACTATAACTTTGTATTGATACAATGTACTGGACAGGTTATTGTTCTCTACTCTGCTTGGTTACACAGCTTATTTACTATTTGGTACGACTTACCTGAAGAGTACTGTGGAAATGATATGGAGGAAGTCTGGGATCCGCTCGTATATCCGAGTCTGGTTCATTGCTTTCATACTCTGTTGTCCTACAGAGACATATGTAGATCCATAGCAGTTCTTTATTACTTCTTTCACTTAGATCCTTTTTTTCTTTAAAAATAATGAAAAAAAAAAAAGATGAGTTGTTTTAGATGTGTGGATTTTTGATGCTTACAGTGAGAGCTTTATTGACAGTGGATAGAAAGATAATACTAACAAATACTTTTTTTCAGCCCTTAAAAGGAGAAGGATTTTCAGATTGGGCACAGTGTTATCTGGCTTTTTTTTTTTAAATTTTGTCTTGCTACACTACGTAATATGTTTGTAGGTTCTGTGTGACCATAGTGTGGTTCTGCTATAGGAGTCTGTTCTAATGGGTCACAGGTTTATTTTGATATAGTTTATGAGAATTCACTATGAAGTAAAGAAAATGTACTGCAGTGATCCTGTCAAAAAATAAAAGCTCATGCACATATCAGGGATGACTTGCTTGATGCCAAACACTAATCTGATATTAAAGTACAATGCAAGCAAAACCAGTATTGCTTGGAACCAATGCTTTTCTGTGGATGTACTGGAATTCTATTCCCAATTCCTATAGATATCTACAGAAGCATACACTGAAATTCTCAGTATTAAAACATTCAAGTAAAAAATAAAGTATATCTTAAAAAATATACCACAAATTGTATAATAAATTAATCTGATTTTTTTAGGTCAATTGCTACTGCTATTCACAATTTATAATGATTTTGCTAGCAGACTGACAAGTCACAATAAAAACACTTATGTTTTGAGTTAAGCTGTTTTTTCCCTCTGGGTTGTTAAGTGGCATTCTTTCTCTCCAAAACTTACTTCTCTGGACCCTCACTGTCATTTAGAAAGAACAAAAATTTTCTGTGCACCAGCTTTTTTTCTGCTGGCAGATAGAGAATGTTGGAAAAGAGCTTTTTGAGTCCATGTCAGAATCCTGTGGCCCTTGGCTGGCCTGACCTCAAACCATCTATAACATGGTGGCTTTTGCTAGGGTTTTCTTTCGGGTTTTGAGTTTCTTTAAAGCTGAAACTTTGAAGCTCAAAATCCTCAGAAGGAACAGAAAGAGAAACCTCATGCAAACAAATACCACTGATCTTTACACAGCTTTGATCTCTTATATATCTATAGTGCCTTTCATCATGAAGAAGCCTGATAAGATTCATAAACTGCCTTCAAAGGGAAATATCTTTTCCTCTATACGACAATGTGCACACCACTGAAAACCAGTCTTCAGAGTAGATGATGACCTGTAGCATGATGCATATTAACTGACAGTAGGGCCATAATTAGCACGTAGAGAAGAACACATTATTTGTCAGGATTTGCAATGCCAGAGAAAATAGTAAAGACCTCAGATTTTAGTGTCATGTTTATCTAAACTGGAAAGAGATGCATCTTTAAGGGACTAAGGGTAATACAAGGGCAGCCTGACAGCATGTTATCTTAGTCCTGGTTACTGCCTCAATTCCAGTTAGCCACTGCATGTGATCAGTTTAAAACTGTCCACATCCCTGGAATGCATTGCCCTTCAAGGGATTCCAAGAGAAAAACACATGAGGTCCTGGCAGTGTCTGCACACATGAGCGGGTGTGCACACATGCACAGCGTGGTGACTGAATTCCCAGCTCACACAGGTGTGTCTGTAGGAGAGGATTGGCTAAGCAAGCTGCCCCAACCCTGTGCCATCTTGGTCTCCTCAGCTGCCCATGTAGCAAACACCCCATAGCCCCTCTACTCTCCAAGACCCTACAAGGCAGACAGTACATATTAAGAGATACAGTGTTGAGCAGAGGAAAGAAGCTGATCACAGGGGGCAGAACAGCCTTTTGTGAACCGTTTCAAAGTCCTGGGTGCAACAACCCCTACTGCTGGCGTTGGCTCAGCAGGTGTTCTTGTTGCACCTGTCAGCAGGTGCCAGGTATGCCAACCTAACTTCAGGACAGAGGCTTCTGTATCTCCTTTCAACATGCACTGGTACCCGACAAGACTTTTGCTCAGAAAATTTTATACTCACATTTCTGTTCTCTCTCCAGATTTCTCTTGAGAGTCCTGGCCTCAGGGAAACCAGCTGAAACAGCTCTTCTCCCGCCTTTCCATTAGGCAGAATCTTTGATTAACTGAGCTTCCAACTGTCTGAAAATTGCAGGCACCCTTGAAGATTTTCAGGTAATTGCAGTCTCTACTGTGTTTCAAAGCTAAGGCTTAGGTTACTAAGCCATCTCCATAATGTCTGATCAATGAAGTGATCAATTAGGAATGGGAAAATGAGCTATGGTACAGCAAGTGGAATGGTTAATGACCTAACATGGAGAAGTCTTTTAATCTCTGGCTCCCATGAGTGCATGCCAACCTGTTCTTCCACAAAGGTAGCAGGGCCCTGGAAAGTTGGAAATGACCATAAAATAGAGAGCAAATGGATACCGGGTAAAAATCAATTAAAACTAGAGGCATTGTAAAGACCCAGAGAGGGCTCAGGAAAAATTCCAAGTGTTTGTTTAACGGATGTGTGAGATTGTTTGCCCTAGTAACTGTGTCTCTGTTTGATATGTATGAAGCTTTGAATATTTTATAACAGTGATGGCTGTGTTCACTTAAAGGCAGCTGCTTAAAAAAATTAAAATTCCAGAAAACACTTTGTCTTTCAACTCAGCATTATGTAATGTTTCAGGCTTGATACCCATTTTCTTTGAAGGCTTTTCCTACTGATAACTTCAGAAGTGTCACCCAGGAAAGATGTTTCATATGAAAAAAAAAAGGTTGTTGGGTCTTAAAGATTTTGTTTTGTTTTCTTTTTTTTTTATTCCACTGACAGATAATGAGTGTTAATGCCCCATCTGAAACAAAAAAATGATAGTTGAATTGGAAGAGTGCTGAAGAGGAGGGCACTGGGGAACACATTTGTGAGCCATCACACAAATTCTCTGAGAAGCCCAGGCAGAAATTCAGAACATCACATCCTAACAGAACATAATGTACTCCAGAAAGAGGAGAGATAATGTATCCTAATGTATTCAGTATTTGCCTTTGATGTAAGCTTAAGCATTATTCCATATGTTTTACTCCATCACTAAATTAATTTTGGTTGGAAACCATCACACATTAATTATCAAATATGACTAAGCTCCAGCTCACTAATTTTCCTAGGTTATTTGATGCCTGCTGTGAGACAGTTACATTGCAGAATTTTGTTTATAATAGCTGTGGCTAACATGTTAGCAGTGACTCTGCCAGATTTGCCAGCCATCAGGCACAAATACAGCTCAGCTGTCCAGGGAGGAGATTGTATAGGAAGTGAAAGATCTGAGCCTCATCAAACACTTTGCAGATGCATGCACAGGGTCTTCTTTAAAACAAAATAGAATAAATTAGAATCTATTTTTACATGGAAAGAATCAAGTCATTTGGACCAAACATTTTATATATTGCATGGCAACTACTGCAAGAAAATGCTTGAGTAAAGAAGACAGAAATTTATTTTTAAAAAATAGATTTCCCAGTATTACAGACCACTTCATGACCTAATGCTTTACTTTGTTTTGAACAGCTTCTATGTGAATTTTCAAGAACATTTTAAATAATAGATGTGCCATAATTACAGCCTGTGTTTCTTATGAGAGGGGGTTTTACTATTCAGATCTTGTCATTTTAAGATCAAAAGATTTCTATTTCAGAATTCTTTTCCTTGCTGAGCTCTAGACAGACAGAATACTTCGTGAGTTGCCGGATCCTTAGCTGTTGTAAGCTCTATTACCATTAAACTAAAGTGTTCTGAAAAATCCTTTATTACACCAGCAGCTTATTGCAGTATTGCCCATGCTTCTGGAATAGAGAAGCCCACATTTCTTCTGAAATAGTCTAGGGACCAACTGGTGTAAGTGAAACTAGAGTGTTTTTCATCTAAAGGAAACTATAGAAAATTTTGAACTAACAGTAGAATCTCATCTTTTTTCTGTTTGCTTGCTTAATTGTGCATATATGCAGTTTTTTGCAATGTTTCATCATGTCTTGTTAATCATTGGAGATCCTTGAGTTGCATGGTAAGAATATGTTTCTACAGCAAAAGAAACAAAAGGGAAAATTTTTCTTTGTTACCTTCATCATGGAAAGAATAACATATCTATCCCAAACTAAAGGTTCATAAATCTAGACACTGTTGTATGAAAAACAACTCATCCCGTCTCCCCCATTGGCCAGATGCCCCTACTTAACAGGTGGAGGAGGCAGTGCTCAGATAGTGACAAGAGATCATACACAGCTCATATTTGGCTGTTCAAATTCAAGGCTAAATTACAAAAGTGGTCTGAGTATAATGATGTTCAAAATCACACAGACTGCGAAAGTTTCAGCCCAAATATTTTCAAGGGCAAAAATCTCTCAAGAATGATGTGGGTTTTTTCCTATTATGTGTCACTTCAAATGTTGTTAAGAAAACAGATTGCTTCCAGGTTTAGGCTCTGACAAAAGAGATGGTTTGGGCTAAAATAAAGATGTATTAGTTCTACTTATGACCTGTCTCTAGTGATGTGCCAACCTTGAACCATTTGCTTATTCCTATTACAACTGCTTCTAGCTTCACTTGAGGCTTTAATGGGACATTCATTCAAGGGAATACTGTTGCATGAGAAAGTAGCCAGTAAGCCTCTTTTTCCTGCAGCCATGTCTTTCACCATCCCCTCAGCCGAGCTACCAGCATCAATTGTGCAGCTGAGTGACAGTTTAAGCTGAAAGAACAATTTCTCCCAAAAGGTTTTTATCCCAGCTGCTCTGGTTCCCTGACCTAGTGCATCACAGTTCTTCAGCTTGTGCTGGCACAGGGTACAAGGTAGAGGATGGGGACTAGTTTGGGGCAAGCAAACCATGAGAGATCTGGAGTCTTTTATTGTAAAAACCATTACTTTAACGGACAGGAAAACCCATTACAGTTATTTTCACATTGAGCTAAATTCTGCAGGCTTTAATCACTTTTTTACCAAAATTTCCACAGTCAATGGAATCTCACCGAAACACAGGCGAAGCTTGAACCACTGAAACATAAAGCTTTAGACGAAGGGTAAATGGCAAGAAAGGGAGAAAGACATGACAATGGCAGAGATACAATAATTAATTTTCAGAAAATCTTGAAAAATATATCTTACCAAAATATTATGTAATGAACACCAGAATCTCATCCTGTAAGACAACGTTTGGAATTAACTTCTACTTTTTTTATTGCCCTGTGGGCCATCTGTTAGCATTATTCCACTTTCCATTTAAAAAGCCATCTCATCCTTAGCAGATGTTCGTTTTTTCTACATGTATGTTTTGTAATTCCTCTCAACTCTCTTAATGGGCTTTGTACTCTCAAAATTTCAAGTTTTCTTATATTGCCTCTACAGTGACTGTAACATCCCCTTAAAATTTGAATAGAAAGCTTCTATTAACATCTCCGTTCTTTGAGGATACAGTATTCAAACATCTTCACAAAATAGCCTTTGCAGTTATCCCTAATGGGCAGTAGCTGTAATCCCTGGAGCTCCTATTCATTCTGAAATATAAAGTTGAAAGCCTTAACTATCTCTACTGGAACTCTTAAGATGTCACAAAAAAAATGGACTGTCTGTTCACACAGTAAGGAAAAATTTTGGAATAGGATATCTGTCTCATGCTACATGCACTTGGACTGAAATAGGGTTTTTCCGCTATTTTGCATCACACTGTAGAAGTCAACATGTGTAGTTAATAGTGAAATGAGTCTGGGAAGTATCACACAAGGGTGTTTTGCATCCTGCTATCCAAATGAACATGAAGGATACGTGCCTCCCCTATGGTAGGCAGAGGTGCAAAAGGTCAAACGTTTGTCTGGCATATATTGCAACACAAAATCCTGACGTTAATAAGTTTTAAGTTTTCTAAAATAGTCATGTACCTGTCTCCCTTAATATATTTGTTATAATTTTCTCTTCCCCACCTCTAAATTCTCTCCTCTTTTATGAAATAGTGAGGTTTTGTATCCGTGACTGGTAGAAGAAATCAGAGTAAAAGCAGCTGAGGAAAGAAGAAATGGATGTTTGCAATGTGTGAGTAATGTGGACTAAATGATGACCTCAGTGAAATGAAAATCCTTAGTAGGGCAGCAGATGGATGTGAAAGATGAGGAGACTAAGGACACTACCTCTTCCTGAAGACCCACTGACACACTAAAAGGTAAGATGTGCAGAGGTTGCGGTTTCTCTGCCTGGTCAGAGACACTGGTATGTTGAATAGAACAGCTACACAAGTGGGAGTCACTCAGTTATTAGACGGTGTTGCAGATTTCTAAGAATACTGCCTCCTTGGAAGGAATATTCCATGGGATAAATTTGAACCCAGCCCCAGAACCACTGCACTCTTCCACCCTTGATATTTAACAATCAAGTTTTCTTGAAAACAACTTGCTTCCAGTCTCTACAGCTCTTAGCTTCTTTATCTTTGCTTTGTCCTTCTGCTTTCCCAAACAGATTTTGTTTTGATTGCCTCAACAGCTAAAATAGCACAGCCTAAAACATGGTTGGCATATATGAGCTCTCTCTGACCCCTTACTTGTTGGAGGGTTTCAGCCTTCCCACTTATTTCTGGATCCGTTTTTATCCCCACTGCCACTGCCAGCAGGGGCATGAGGGAGGTTTGCAACCTGTGCAGAGTTGGGCTGAACACTAAGAGAAGTGATGAGGAGAGCAATTTTAGCTATGAATATCCTAATGAAGCTCCTGTGCTGACCTTACACACTTCTGATTAAGCAAATATGCAAATGCAAAGCAGTTCAGAACTGGATTAGCATTCAAAGGGTTTTAAAAAGCTACTGTGGCTACATGCAGAGTGACCTTTAGGCCTGCTTAAATCTGCTAGAATGCAAATGGGGAAAAAGAGAGACATTATAAATACAGTAGAACTTGCAGGCACTGTAAAATGTACCACAGAAGGAAAAGAATATACAGATTGAGGTTTTACAGCTGATCTGGTTATGGGACAAGAGATTATTCTGCATCATACTTGGGGATGTCTCTTCCAGTACCTTCCAAAACCAAAGTTAGCTCAACAGTTGGTTTGATCATAATCCTGAAGGTTTTGTACTTTAAAAAATGAAAAAGGAAAGCAGGTAGGTAAGTATCCAAATCTGGGTCCCAACAGTGCTATCAAGATTCAGGGAGAAAGAGGAAATCCAGGGCAGGTAGGAGACATATCTCAAGGTCATAGGAGAGCCATTCAACACAACACTCAGGAATCTACTCTTTCCTCTAGTTGGTGTTCAGGAGGTGAGCATTCAGAGCAAAATTACCTTTAATTAAAGAAAACTTCTGTAATGAGAAGCATTGTCACGTGCTATGGTGTATACGTCACAATTCAAAACCACAACCTGGGCTGCGGTTTTAAGACTAGGTATCATGATCCACAGGTGCCTGAGGGTTATTCTAATCTTATACTACTAAGAGGAGGGTGTTAATGTAGAAAACCACTGGAAAGAAGTGTTTAAGAAATACTGGCCATTTACAGCCAGCTGCTCGGTACAAATACATACCTTATTTCTAGGAACACAGCAGTGGAAGAGACCTCCTAGATTCTCAAGAATGTGTGATTTCAAGGACTGTATTTTATTCTTCATTTCATAAATTAGGAGTTTAGTTGCTGCTGTTCTCACTAAACCCACTGAAAGACTGTTCCAGAATGAGCTTCGCTTCTAACTGAGAATGGTCTTCTGATTTCCAGGCTAAGTGTATTCACAGCTACCTTTCACCCATTTATTCAGAAAACTGACTTTGTTTAATTACTTCCTAAGGTCTATGTATCAGTATTTGTATTTTCTTTCACTTAGAGTACTGCTTGGAAAAATATTTTGACAAAGAAAGATAATGAAGGAGGAGGATACTATAAACCAGATGAGATCCTCTACTGGTATAAACTAGTTTGACTTTGGTGCTAGTATGTATTGCCCAGGAATTTAAAAGAAACTTTTCATGTGTTTTTTTTCAGGTTAGACAAGATAACAAATATCTGTGCTAAAAGGCAATGAATACATCCATAGCAAACACACCTTTGGGTAACATTTCTAACATTTTTTCTCAGAATTCTTTTAAAAGAAAAACTGAACACTGAAACAAAAAAAAGTTTTCTTACTCTGATTTCCTCCAATACTTTGTTAAAAACACTTCTTTACTCTTGGTCCCCATGTCTTAATGTAACATGTCTATTACTGTTTATTTTTGCATCAATCAACTCCATGTTTCTTAATTTGGAAGGTATTGTCAAATATATTTGTTTGCCCAATGCATAGTTGAGGTTCCAGGATTTCTTTATGCAGTTGGCAGCAAAACATTATAATACATTGGTTTATTTTCTTGCTTTGGAGGTAAACAATAAAGATAAAAATTTATTGCAACTCAAAATACTCTAAAATGTTCACAATGATTTGTCCAAGTTACAGCTGAAAGGCTTAAAATACATCTTTTGTATCTTGGAAGCAATTACTCAAAGTTTTTGAATCTGCTGATCTTTTGCATGTGCTGGTTATTTAGGAAAGGTTCAGGAACTTGTTTTTCAATACTTTTCTAAATTGAAGGAAAACAAAAATTTTGATAACGAGAACAACAGTTAAATAACATGAAGCTATAAGGGAAAGTAGAAATAATTTTGTTTCTAATGACGATAGAACACATTTTTCCTGTGATTTAAATCCCATCAAGCTTTATTTAGAACTCAAATAATAAAAAAGCTCCATATTTTATGCCATTTTAAAATGACAGGCTTCATATGGCCTCTGAGGCAAACTCTAAAATAGCACAAGCTGATTCAAAATCAGATCTGAGTCCTGTGAGAAAGCTGGCTGCTCTCTGCTTATCGCAAAATGTGAAACTGAATTTTGTACCTTTACAAATAATAACTGCTTATCCAGTAAATATCCTGCTTTATTTCTGCTCAATATGAGGAACACATATTGCAGCAGCAGGATAAATATGAGGGCTCCTATGAGCCCTTCTGCTTATGAAGTCTGCAAACTAGAATCAAACGTTTCTTTATGAAAACAGCATATACTTTAAGAAACAAAAAAAAATCAGCAAAGCTTTATGAGACATAATTGGGATCAATAGAAATAACTTTAATTCTGAGATATGTTCTGTAGGTTTTTAAACCATTCTTTAGTATTCAGTACTAAAGGCATAATTATACATTAAACTATAGCAGATGGCATCATGTGGAAGTATCATTTGTTAATATATTCTGCTGGGCTTACCCATCAAGGTAGTGCAAATTGGCATAAATTACACTTTCTTTTGGCTCTTTGGCATGTTGATTGCATTGCGTTACATTCTTTCACAGCTCTATTCTTACTCTCTAAACTATGACTAAAAAGTCATGTTGCATAAACTTAATTCAGGAACAGTGAAATCTTTAAATGTCAGAACTACAAATTCAAATGGCTGATACTAATGTTAAAGAAAAGTCCATTCAACTTATTTTTCTCTTGAACTAGACAGTCACCCTGAAAAGGGTAGGTTGCCAAAGAAAGACAGACTGAGGATAGATTACAGAGAAAAAATGAGAACTAGAAGTGGAATTAGACCCAAGCCGATCCTTTCCATGCAAATAAAGAAAGATGCAAGGAAGTCAGCACTTAGATCAGCTTCTTCTGTCAGTGCAGGGCTGAGACGAAGGTAAGAAGGGCCCTGTGCAGTGTCACTGCCATATAGCGGTTCTTCTGGCAGGCACAGGGTAGCCCTCCCTGTCAGGACAAAACTCAGGCAGCCACATTATCCAATTTAATTTAATCTGAGGTTTTGATAACAGCCTTGTACCCTGTATTCATCCAACAGCTATGTGCCGGTAGCCGTCGGTGTCTGCACCCAAGTAACTAAACTTGCTGTCACAAACCCCCTCAGCAGCAGAGGAAAAGAGCAATGCACTTGAACTGCAGAAACCTGCCGGAGAGGTAATCGTGCCTTGCTTTGTTCTTAAGAGCCTTGCAAGGAAGTCACAGGCGTCTCTCAGACATCGTATCTTCCAGGGGGAGGGCAGCCAGGAAAACACTGTAGCTGGTATTCAGAGCAAGCAAACCCGTGAATCAGGACAGCGACCTGCTTTTGCCTTTCTCACCGCCAGTGAGCCTGGGAAGAGTTACTCGGAGGAGTAACACTCGGATAGATAATTAAACTGTAGCATAGCAGTTGTTCAGCAGAGGGCAGCATCCGTATATGGAAAAATGCTGGTCTCCTCTAACAGCTGCTTCCTGCTGCCTTTCTTACGGAGCCCGGGAATCTCAGCCTTTTCCCTTCTTACTAATTCACAGGTAAATGAACGTATCACCCGAACCTGAACACTTAATAAAGCATGGAAAAGTATGATATTAAAAACGTGACATCAAGATTAACGTTTTAAAATGAAAATTATCGGCAATGAAATTGAGATTCCAGAATCAAAGTTGAACTCTCTCCAGATCTTGCATTCTGCATATTTTACAACACAGACAGTATTATAACACTGATTAGTGTGATGATTAAATATAGATAGTTCAGGAATGGCTAAATCAATCAATCTCAGTCAGGGAGTAGAACTTCAGTTCAGAAGGCACTGAACACAGAATCACAAAATATTTTGAGTCGGAAGGGACCCCTAAGGATCATCTAGTCCAACTCTTAAGTGAATTGCCCATATAGGGATTAAATCCACGACCTTGGCATTATTAACACCATACTCTAATCAACTGAGCTAATTTAAGTGTGTATGTGTACCTGTGTGTATATAAAATCAACAAGTTCCAGCAGACATACACCTGACCAGCTTTGTTAAGTGCTTCTAGACCCTTGGCTTTTAAAAAGTGGAATGGGGAAACAGTCTATCCATGCAAAAGCAGATAAATTAGTACTATTCTTGGAGCCTAATAATTTTTTATTGTTGCAGTTCCATTCTTTCATTAATCTAATTTAGTTGTATTAATGTAAGGTAATTACAAGAAATTTGCCCATGTTGAGAGGCAGAGCCACGCTGGGGCTGCTCTGCTTATCTGTGGTATTCCTTCCTTCTAGCTGTTCCTTTGCCTGAATTTATGTCTTTACAACATGATACTGCTTAACTTTATGAACAGGGTGGTGCCATTCACTATAAAGATGCTGGAAGACTGGCAAGTAGTTAGGATGTTGCAGTCACAGTTCAGAGATTATTAATCTACAAGGCTG